TATAAACAGATGCTGAGGACAAACAGAAGGAGGAGGTGATCCCCTCTGTACCCTGCCCATGATCTCCTAAGGGAATCTTTTTGTCCAGATGTTTATCTGCCCCTCTCCTGCAGACAACCTGTGACAGGTGAGTGGGGCCACCTGCCTGTTGGTTATCTGGCATGATGCCAGCTGACTGATAGGTGGGTGCTCTCATCTGTCTAGCAAAGTTGATGCCCTGCAGAGAATGCACTAACAATACATTGTCCATCAGAATTGTGCTCTCTGCTCACCAGCTGATATGTGGAGGGTTCAATCGCCCAGGGTGGGTGATGGGTGGGTAATGTGGGAAATGGCCTTGTGGGCTAGCATGGACCACCCTGGTGGGCTCAGAGGTTCCCCACAACTGCTCTAGCACAATGACTTAGTTGAATTAGCCCCTTATATTTATGAATTTTGATTTAAGGTGCCAGACTGAGTCAGGTCAGCTCTGAATGGATCTGAACCAAATTGGGGTCCAATCTGATTCACTGAATTGGGCCCTGAAGCTAATCCGGGAAGCGGGTGGTATGGGGTGCAGAGTTCTGTTATGTATAGTTCACTGAAAGACTTAGCAGGGACCTTTTCCCCTTCCCTTCCTCATACATGATATCAAATATGTTTAAAAAACACTTAAGGTGTCAGTTGACTCCATGTCCTTCCTCAATGAAAGGAAGCAAAAAAAGGAAGGTATTTTCCTAAGCTGAGCACTTAATTTGATACCGGAAAAGGTATGGTTTGTCATAAAAGTAATTATGATACAGCTTAAAGTACCTGGGACAAAAAAGAAAGCCATTTGGTGCCAAAGTAATTTGGAGAAGAAAGCTGGGTAACGAGGGTGGGGCCACCCACATTTGAACAAAATTTGCACTTAGCTTGGACAAGCTGAGAAATCCTTCTAGATGGGCTCATCAAAGCAACAGGACGGAGAGAGGGAGAGCATTTGAAATCTATTAGAGGCAATTGTGAGCACAGTGGAAATGAAAGCCTGGTGGTAGGGGTAAACTAGAATGATTGCTGCTACAAGCCCCTTTCTTTTCAAATGCTATTTTCCCCTCCCTTTATTATCAATGATAGAACTTGAATGAATGCACAAAAAGGGGCTTTTAGGTCCTGCAATTTCCCATAATTAAGATTTCCATGTGTGAACGCGGACGCGTGCACACATTCTCCGCACAAAACATCAGTGCAAAATACGAGCTGCAGAGCCAGTGTCTTGGACAGCAGATGATCCAGTTCTAAGGCCCTGTGCAGATGGCATGCTCACTGAGAAATGAGTCCTCTCATATATCCAAATACATCCCTGCCCACGAGCATCACTGCCATCCATCCATCCATCCAAAGGTCTTCTGCACCCCTAAAAGATTCATGGAGGAAAAGGCTATGGATGTCTACTAGATACAATGGCTATGCTCTACTGCAGGCATGGGCAAACTCGGCCCTCCAAATGTTTTGGGACTACAACTCCCATCATCCCTGACCACCGATCATGTTAGCTAGGGATGATGGGAGTTGTAGTCCCAAAACATCTGGAGGGCTGAGTTTGCCTGTACCTGCTCTACTGCCACTTGCTCTACCTCCACTTTTGGAGGCAAAACCCCAACATCCTTGGGGTTCAAGGATGTTGTTCTATAGTGGAATCTGCAAGAGGAGAGAATGCTGCTGTCCTCAGGTCCTTGCTGTGGGTTTCCCATAAGCATCTGGTTGGCCACTGCAAGAACAGGGATGCTGGACTATATGGACCACTGGCCTGATCCATCAAGGATCTTCCTATGTTCTTATCACAGTTCAAGGACACATTCCAGCCAGGTAAAAGCACTCAAGAAGCACCTGGAGTAGAGTCGGGGAGGAGCAGGTTCTGGGATGAGTTCCAAGAGTCAGATGGAGGTCTGGAAGGCCACATTTAGACCCTAGGCCCGGTGGCCCTCACCTGCAGTTTCATGGGAAGAAGAGCATGGACACCACCCATGGTCAGCTTGCAACCATAAACTCAGATCACATCAAGATTCCACAGAAGCTGCAGGGGAAAAATTGTGCCTCTTTCACTTTTGAGAAATTGGAGGACAGGCTTTTGCACAGTACTGGTCCACAGCAACCGGCTGAAGGCATAGAGAACTGTCCTTTTCATGCGTGCGTCTTCCTGGAAACGAAGATTAGGGTGGTTAGGGTTTTCTCCTGAAGCTAGTTTATATGGCTCGGTCTCTTTTGTCCTTAGTACAATTCGGAGTGATTTACCCTAACAGTAAGGGAGGTGCAGGATTGATTCATCAATATTCACTCTTGGCTGCATGGCTCATTATAGAAGAAAGAGAAGGATCCTTGGCAAGGAGTGGAGATGAAAGGAGCAAACTCTGAGGAAGGAAATTGTGTCTTTTAGCTGTTCAATTGCTCCCCTCCCCTTCTCTCTAATTGGTCCTCCTGGCAGTATGCTTGATTCACCTGGCCTTGCCCTTCCTTACATAACATTCAGAAAACAACAGCTCAATCAATTAATTTTTCACCTAATCAAGATATAGGACACTTTGTATGTGGCGGGGAGGGGCATCAGCTGGGGAAATACTGCAGGAGAGGAAAATGAAAACAAATACTTCTTAATAGCAAGGGGGGGCTGGAAGAGCTCGATGGAAACCAGGGTTAAGAGAACCTGTTACCATCTAGGAACATAGGAAGCAGCCTTTTACCACATCCAACCAAGTGATCCACACTGACCAGCAGCAGCTTTCAGACAGGGGACATTCCCAGGGACTCAACCTGGGACCTTCTGCATGCAAGGCACGTGTTCTGCTACTGAGCTACAGTCCTTCCTCATAATTTACACAGGAAGCTCCCTTATACGGAGACCCATCAGAGCATCTAGCTCAGCCTCACCTGCACTAACTGCAGTGGCTGTTCAGTGTTTCAGGTAGGGGACACTCCCAGCCCTTACCTGGAGATGCCAGAACCTGAGGCCTTCTGTCTGTAAACATATGCTCTATCACTGAGGAGTGGCCTTTCCAGGGGCATCTTACCCATAGAGGCTAGTGGCGCAGGGTGCTAAGTTCTGGAGGGCAGCAGAGAAGAGGCAAAGGCTGGAAGTGGTGCCTCCCACCATCAGCTTGCCACCCTCACCCGCCTCCGCCATGCCGCGCCAAAGCAGCACCGCGCCCGGAGCCTCTGCCTGCCGCAGCCACCTTGGCACAAAGTGACCAGCCTCCGCCTCTTCCCCGCCGGAGGACCCGTCCTCCCTAAAAAAGGTCGACAACTCTGGGAAGGGGGGGGCGCTGGAGGGATCTTTGCACCACTGCGCCACATATGCTTAAGATAGCCCTGGGCCTTTTATGGGCCAGCTAGGGCAGGGTTGCCATATTTTGAAGAGCAAGAAAAGAGGACACATTTACAGACTTCTACTTTTAACTGGATCAATGATGACCCTGCCCATGAAAAAGACGGCGTGTCCTGGGAAAAGAGGACATATGGCAACCCTGCTCGAGTTTCTCCTCTAGACCAGTGTTCCTCCACTTTGAGTTTCTAGATATTGCTGGGCCACAGCTCCCATCATCACCAGACAAGGATGGGCAATGGCTGGGGATGAAGGGAGGAGGCAGCAGGCAATGTCAAGGTGGATGGCCAGGCACAGACACTGGCGGAGGAAGAGGAGTGTGGGGGGAGCGCACTGCCCCCAGCAGCACGATCCCAGTGGGGTGCCATCGTGGCTGCACCCCCGCCCGCGCTGGGCGCCATGCCCCCAGAATGCGTGCCACACCCCTGTGGATGACGCATCACGCCCCCGGGATGCTCGCCAGCCCCGCCCCACCTGCTCTCCGCCCCCCACCTGGAGCATGAAGCTCCGCCACTGGGCACAGAGGAGGCGGATGCTGCAGCAGCCACACACAAGGGAAGCCGGATCTGCTGCCAGAGGCAACAGCCTGACGTTGCTTCATGGGCAGGTTTTGCCTGGCTGAAACGTGTCCCTGAACTCTGATCAGAATTCTTGGTTGCCTGAATGGAGGATAGCAAGGGTTGGCTGAGTGTGTGCAGAAACTAGCCTACTGGTTTTTAACCCCTGCCTGACTAGCTCATATGGTAAGGTTTGGATCGCCTTTATTCTGGCAGGGCTGTGGGAATGTCTCCTCCGAAGGATCACCACCTCTTCTGGCAGGTGACTAGAACCACAGGTGTCAGGTTTTGAAATGTTCTCTTCTTAATGGGTCCCGTCAGGTTCCTGGGATGCAACTGGTTCGCTTTTATGGACGGAGAGAAGGGATAATCAAGACTCCAAGTCCTCCCACTCATTTTATTTATGAATGCAGACAAACATTTAGGTCCCTACCTGATTGCCTTTGAAATGTTCTTGCTTCCTGCATTTCCCAGAATGAGGGTGGCACATGTTTACCATGTGATTTGAAACAGTTTTTCTCCTTTCCACTCTCTCGTCTCTGCAGAAAAGGAAGCACGGAGATTGTTTTCTTCTCTCGTTTGCTGCTGAAGTGCTGGTGATTAGAATGTAATTTTTTTTAAGCCTCTGTTGCTTTTCAACTGAAATTCCAACAGGAAGCAAACAAAACAGCACAGCAGTGAGAACAAAGGAATCACTGGAAATGATGAGAGAGAGAGAGAGAGAGAGAGAGAGAGAGAGAGAGAGCGCGGTCTGCTGCTGGCAGGATATTTGGGGAGCTGAGTTTAACACATGGGACAGGATTATGAATAATGTGAAAGGGAGCATCTAGCATCCAGTGGACACAATGAGGTCTCTCTCTATGCTCGCAAGTGTGACAGCTTATGCACTTGGTGGTAGAACACATTCTGTGCAATGCAGAAGGCACTAGGTTCCGTTCTTGGCATCTGGGAAAGACCCCTATCTGGAAACCTGGAGAGCCACTGCCAGTCTCTGAAGACAGTAAATGGACCAATGATCTGACTTGGTGGAAGACTGCGCCCAGTGCAATGTGGGCCTTTATTCAGACCCATGAGAGCTAGAATGTTACCTTATTTTTATGGAAAGGGCCATAGTTCAGTCATAGAACACTTGCTTTGGCTGGAAAAGGTCCCAGGTTCAATCCTTGTTGTATGCAGTAGGGGCAATGGAAGACCCTGTCTGAAACGCTGAAGGTTTGCTGCCCGTAGGTGTAGACAGTACTGAGATAGATGGGCCAATGGTTGCTCTTGGCATAAAGCTGATTTCTAGGATGGTTTCCAGCAAAGACAAGAGAGGAGCTTAGCTCAGTGGTAGAGTGTGCACTTTTGTCTGCAGAAGCTCCCGGGTTCAAGCCCTGGCATCTACAGGTAAGGCTGGGAAGGGCACCTGTAAAAGACACCTGTCTGAAGGCCTAGAGGGTCACTGCCAATCAGTGTAGACCACTGATCCAACTGGTTAGTCAGTATAGACAAGTGGTCCAATACTATGTCACAGTGTGAATTACAGTGAGTGGAAACAGCCACATTCCACCATGAAAATATATGGGAAGATGAAGCAGGCCCTCAAATGCTTTAAGTTTGGAAACTCTCTTGTACAGGAGGCAGTGGTGGCCACCAACTTGGGTGGCTTTACAAGAGGACCAGACAAATTCATGGAGGTTAAGGATATCAGTGGCTACTAGCCTTGATGGCTATTGTTCTGCCTCCCATGATCAAAGGCAGTTGTTGTGTAGTCGTTTAGTCATGTCCAACTCTTCATTACCCCATGGACCAGAACACACCAGGCCCTCCTGTTTTCCACTGCCCCCCGGAGTTTCATCAAAATCATGTTGGTAGCTTCTATAACACTGTCCAACCATCTTGTCCTTTGTCATCCCCTTCTCCCTGTGCCCTCAATCTTTCCCAGCATCAGGATCTTTTCCAGGGAGTCTTCTCTTCTCATGAGGAAGCCAAAGTTTTGGAGCCTCAGCTTCAGGATCTGTCCTTCCAGTGAGCACTCAGGGCTGATTTCCTTCAGAATGGATAGGTTTGATCTTCTTGCAGTCCGTGGGACTCTCAAGAGTCTCCTCCAGCACCAAAGGCAGTAATGCTTCTGAATACCAGGCAACTTCCCTTCTTCTTCTTTCCAAGGTAAAACTGGAGGAGATTGAACTGAAGCTAATTGTGCTCAAACATCTGAAGCCTGAAGATGAACGCGGAGCCTTGTGTGAAGTCAAGGATGTGACAATGCTTCTGTAGCACCATTTGTTTAAAGCTCACACCCGTGACAGTATTGGGTTATCTCATCAAGAGAGGAAAACTGCATTTGAAGCTGTGTTTTCTGATTAGCTGAAGCAGCTTGTAAACATTAGCTAAACAGCCTTTGCACATTAAGCTATTTGGCTGTTATATAAGGAGGTTGCTCTTGGTGCAGCTGAGCTGTTGCTATGGCAAGAATTTGGAACACATGAGAGAGAACATGGTGGTGGCATTGGGCGGGGGAGGGCATGAGAGAGATTGAGAACAGGGTGAGTCATGTGGATGAAGAAGAGGGAAAATCACTTTCGAACCACTTTTATGTGGTTATCCCATGAAAATGACCATCCCTGGATTCAGGAATGAAGATTTTGTTCCCATTGTCAGATGGTTGGCAGAGGAGCTTCCAGGGATGTGCAAAGCATGTGTCCCTGATCTATAGCATCTCCCTTGGAAGAATAGAGGTGGGTGGAGGGAACGTCTGCAGTTCTCTTTTTAACAGACACCTACTTAAGTTGCACTTGTTGACCCAAACTTGACTATCCTCAGCACATAAGAACATAAGACCTGCATCTCAGGAATGCTTCACCAATGACCCTATATGGGTCCCTGCCTAGAACCCCGTTTCTTATAATAAAGAAAGAACCCCAGGGGTCATCAAGTCCAACCCCCTGAAATGCAGGAATCATAGCAAATCACATTGCCCCTTGAGCCTCAAGAGCAGAGGTGATGATGGACCAGATGGGAAGCCCAGAATCACACAGAGGTGGGACAGTATGTGTTTGCCTGTCAGATAGCTTTCTATCAACAAGGTTCAACTTGGGAGGAAAGCTCTACTCAGGAGCAAGAAGACTCATCACCCAGCTGCAGGCAGTGACCCAGCAAACAACCAGGGAGAGCAGAGATGAGGGAAATAAACATGGCAGTGGCAGGCAATGCCTGAGGCAAAAGGGGGTGGAGTAAGAAATTCAGATTGTACAGTGGGCTAGTTCCTGAACTCAAACACTCTATCCACCATCCAGACTTGCAAGTGGTATTACCAGAGCCAGGCAAAAGTACTTGAGGATTGTAGGGTCAGTGAGGATCATGCCCTGGTGAGAGGTTGTGTTGTTGAAGAGAAGCTATGGCCTGGGGCGACTCCCAAGGACCAGTTAGGGAGCTTTCAGGGCTGCAGGCCTGAGTGTTGCCATCTCATAGGTAGAGGCGATGGGTCCCTCTATCTCCTCAGGCCATTTTCTGAACGAATGGCTCCCCAGCTCATTAATGCTCCTAGGTCTGACCACATTGTTGTCTGTGACTGTGTCTCCAGCTGCTGCAACCAGCCACTACACCCAGAACCGGCTATGGGCAGAGGCCCAGATCACGGAAGTCCACAACCTCTCCATTCCATGCCAAAACCACATTTCTCCATTTGATATCATTTCCAGAGTGGAGCTTGCCTTGAACATTCACACAGTTCTTCACTTAACTGCAGCAAGCCATTGATACCAAGGCCAGCCAGACATCATGTTCCAAACCCATTAATTCTCTTGTAATGACTGCTTGTAAAGATAGCATTTGACTAGTAATGCTTTATCAGTTTTACGTTTCTCCATTTTATTTCTCAGAATACGTAATCCATTGCCTTATCTCTCTCTCTCTCGCTCTTTAGCATTTTGGAAGGATTTTTACGGCCGTTCAGCATTTCACTGCCTTAGCACTGATACAACAATGCAGCTGCCTCTGTGCCACAGCAAACACCATCGTGGGGTGGGAAGGGGTTGTTATTTTCCCCTCTCTCAGTCTTATTTATTCATAATTAAAACTCTCGTGTTTGTGACAGTTCTCAAATGTGACATGACATTTTTATAATCTTGTTAATATCTCAAAAGGTTTTTACTGCATTGCAGGCTGGGAATTATGCAAATGGGCAGAAATGGTGGAGAGGAGGGGTGGGGTGCAAATGCTATTGCGGCTGCGTTTGCTCATAAAGTTATGACAGAGAAAAATATTATTGCTGTAATTACAGGGGGGAACTGCATTTCTTTCCTACTTCCTATTTTTCCATGTCATAAACAAACAATTTTGCAATGGGAAAGCTCTCTCCTTGTTGCCCCATGCAGGCAATTAAGCGGAGATCATTGCCACCCTTCAGATGTTCCTGGACTCGAACTCCCATCATCCCTGTCCATTGGCTTTGCTGGTTGAGGCTGATGGGAATAGCAGTGTCCCGAGGGCCACATCTCCAGGCACACCCCTGTTAGATTTGAAGCTACCTTCCCCAAATGTCAAATTGCTTGATAATTCCAAGCCTGATTCTAAACCCTGTTGTTCTCCTACAAACTAGAGCAGTAGCTCACTGTTGGAGAACATGCTTTGCATGTAAAAGGTCCTGAGTTTAATTTTCCAGCACATCCAGTTCAAAGAATCAGGAAGCAGGTGATGGGAATGTCTTTGTCTGATGCACTGGGGAGACACTGCCAATCAGTGTGGACAAAAGGGGGGGCAAAGAGAGAGCCAATGATCTGATGTTGTATACTGGGCCATAACTCAGTGGTAGAGCGGGCATACCAAATATCTCAGGGTCAGTCCTGAGCATCTCCACATAGGTCTGGCAAAGACTCCTCTCTGAAACCCGAGAGAGCCATTCCCAGCAAACTGGGCAATTTATTATTTATGTATTTATTAAATTTATATATGGCCCCATACCTGTAGGTCTCAGGGCAGTTCACGGGATACAGGGTCAGATGAAACACAGGGTCAGATGGGGGGGGGAATGTTTTAAGTGAGCAGAAAACCACTTCCTATGAGCTTGGTTTGAACCTGCCGTGCTCCTGATGACAACATAATCAGCTGCTGTTGTGTTAGTGTTGGATATGTGGTGATTCATTCAAATAATGACTTCGCGATCAGGTAATGGGATCCTGTCCTTTATAGCTTGCAGCTCAGTGTGTAAAGCTTGGCCACATTCTCTTTGCAGCGATGCAGGACTACACAGAAGTTCTCTCTGTGGTGTTCAGTTAATGATGAACTTTGAAAGCTGATGTATGCCAAATCAAATTCTTTGGTCAGTCAGCCTACAGTTGCTTTTAGAATGCTTTAGAAATGTTTTTAGTACTTGCCACCATGGGATTCTTAAGAAGAAAGGAAGGGCTATAAATTGAATGATTATCATTACTTTTATTATTTTCAACAACCTGGGCACATAAGGTTGTCTGAAAGCCGTTCTTTTTTTTTCAGGGGGTACTCAAACGTACGCAGTACTGGCACCGTTTTTGGTGTTGTTAAAAAGTGTGGCACTTACTTAAGCTAATAGGAGTTTGTCAATTCTTTGGTAATTCAGAGTGTAGTGTATTGTGGAAAGCATATTAATATGTTTTAAAAATATATACTTATTGTTGTTTCCGCTACCAGCAATTTCTTTTCAGTACCTTAATTTCAGGAAACTTAACGGCCAAAAAATTAATAATAATTGCATCTTCATCTTTTCCTCTGCCACTCCAAGAACCCAGGGTCCATTAGCAACACTACAATTAGGCATGAGACCGTAGTTGCTGCTAAAGTGGTATTTCATGTTTTAAGCGGACTTAAATGTACCCGTTCTAATGGCTAACAATATTTCAAAATGTGACTTAATCTATTTCATTCCATTTATATGAGTTGAGATCATCAATCATTTCCCACTAGAAAGCCCCAGCCTAAGATGAATTTAACGGACTTTATAAATAATGGGTCAATAGCGAGTTTGTCATAAATTCATTTCAACTTTTTGGAGACGGGCCCGGCAGATACTTTTCGGTATTGCTTTCTCACAAATCACCCGTAAGTTGGGATTAATTTTGATGTGCAGTTGTGACAATGAGACTTTCTTTTGTCAAAGCCCTGTGTATATATTTGCCTTCTCCTCCCTCCACTTTACCATTCAGTGCTAAAGAAAAATTTAATTGATTTCCCTCTAATTGTATGCAGAGATAGTATTCACTTCAAAGTATTCGTGATAAGGTGTCAGAGCTGGACTGAAGCCCTGCAGGGGCGTGGCTCAGAGGTAGAGCCAGTGCCACATTTACGTATAAGCTAAACAAGCTGTAGCTTAGGGCCCCACTCTCTTGGGTCCCCCAAAAAACGTAAAGGAAAAAAACATTTCCAAAATATA